CTACAAGGTCGTGTATGATCTGACCTTACTGTCTTCACCAACCTCAACTACCATAGCTCCTTCCCTTACCTGCTGTTCCAGACACACTAACTTTCTCACTGCTTGTACCTCAGGCCCTTTGTACTTGCTGTAATGCTCTCTGCCCCCTGATTTCCGTATGCTTGTCCCTCCTTTCATTCAGGTCTCTGTTCAAATGCCCCCTCCTCAGAGAGGCCTCTCCTGACCACCTTACCTATCTTAGTTTCCTTGTGCTGCTATAAAAGAAATACCTCAAGTGGGTGACTTAAAAGAACAGAAATTTGATTTTCTCACAGTTCTGGAGGCTAAAAGTCCAAATCTGTGCTTTGGCTGTGTCCGTTCTTTCCTAGTAGGTAACCCCAGGCCATCCTTGGTTCTTGGCTAGTCTCACATGCCGTCTGTCTTCGCAGGTACGTGTTTACATCTCTGTGTCTATGCTACTCTGTATACAACTCAGAAGTGATTAGGCTTATGACACACCCTACACTGGTGTGACCTCAACTGATTGGTTAGTTGTGTTACATTAGATAGTGTTATGGAAGGTAATTACATTAGATTAGATTAGGTTATACCTATAGGTATAGGGATTAAGATTCTAATACATATTTTGAGCAGCACAGAATTCAATCCATAACGACCTAATGTGGCAACTACTTTCTCTATCTTTTCATCCAACTTTCTCTTTCCTTAGAGCTCTTTGTATCTTCCCAGAGTACTTTCAATCCCTGGTATTATATGATGTAGTCAAATTTTGGTTGGTTTAATGTCCATCTTCTCCACTAGAATGCTCCCAGAACAGGGGCAGGCACATAGTAGACACTTAGCAAACATTTGATAAATAAGTAAATGAATAGCTAGGCCTGGATTTGAAGCCTGGCTCTGCTATTTGGTAGCTTTGTAGAGTTGTGCAAGCCACATAATTACCCTGAGCCTTAGTCTCCTTGTCTGTAAAATGGATATAACAATATCTCCCAAACAGAATGGTGAGAATAGATGAGGTGATGCACAGCGACCAGAAAGAGAATGTGCTTCATGAACTGTAGCTGATACTATCTTTCTGTTGTTGTGTTAGCTGCATTCTGCATGTTTTCCCTGCCTTGAGGCTCCTGCACACCCTACATACATCCAGGGCACCTTTATGTCTTAGATCTGCCTGGGGAACCTGTAGGATGTCCAAGGAAAAGACAGCCCAGCAATGAGGCCAGAGCCTTTCTCCTATGAAAGTGTTCTGCACTCTTGTTGGGGCAGCCATACCTTTTATATGGAAGAAAAGTCCATCTCGATCTTCCTCCCCATCTTCCTTCTGTTCATGAAGCCCTTGGAGATTGCTTCCAGCAGGCTGAGATGACTGTTGTGTGCAAATCCAGCAGTCTTCCTCCACCCATCTCCAGCAGCCTCCCATGTGGTGTGTGTGGAGCAGGATGTTCAGCTAGCCACCACAGAGCAGGAATCTCACTGAAGTTCTCAGGGCAAAGATGACTTGAAGCATTTACTGAGAAAGATCAAAGACATATGGATTTTGCTTGAATGTGAAGAAAACAAAAATCCTCACAACTGGACCAATAACAACTTCATAATAAATGAAGAAGAAATTGAGGTTGTCCATGATTTCATTCTAGTTGGATCAAAAACCAACATCCATGGAAACAGCAGTCAAGAAATCAAATGATGTATTGCATTGGGAAGATCTGCTGCAAACGATCTCTTTAAAGCAAAGAGTTTTTAACACTTTGATGGCTAGGATGTGCCTGACTCCAGCCATGATCTTTTCAGTCACCTCATATGCATGTGAAACCATAAAAAAGGAAGATCAAAGGAGAATTGATAAATTTGAACTGTGGTGTTGGTGAGGCATATTGAATATACTGTAAACCACCATAAGAATAAACAAGTCTTAGAAGAACAACCAGAGTGTTCCTTAGAAGTGAGGATGTTGATACTTTGGCCCACTTACCTTGGACACATCAGGAAAGACCAATTGCTAAGACAGGGTATCTTGTCTGGTAAAGTATAGGGTCAGCAAAAAGGAGGGAAAACCTCAATGAGATGGATTGGTGCAGTAGACACAACAGTGAACTCAAAAATACCAATGATCATAAAGATGGCACAGGGCCAGGAAACATTTTGTTCCAGTATATGTAAGATTGTCATGGATTGGAGCCATTTCAACAGCAAATAACAGCAGCATCCCTGGTGTGGATCAAAAAGTGTTAAAAGGAGAAGATTCACACATAAACACCTTATTTTTAACAGGCTAGAAGATACATTTGCCCGTTTCTGACACTTTTAAGAGAGAAAGTATTCTGTACATTTAAAGTCATATCATTATCACTCAGATGACATTTTTCAAGGAGGGCAAGTGCCAGCAAACATGTACAGCATTGAGTGTACCTGGTATGTGAATCTGAACAGAGCACTGTGGGAAGATATGAAGATCAGAAGGATTGCTTTGCCTGGAGGGGCTCCCTGTGGGGATTATAGGTAATGTGGACAGGCAAGCTGGCTCATTAGGACCAGTAAAAATGCACCTGACTAAGTGTGCTTGTTCTTCAATTAGGAAATCTATCTTCTCTGCATTGTTTATGTTTAGATGACAGAATATGACACTTGCTCAGCCAGTTTCCAAATGACAGTATTAGGGAGAGAGTGTAACAGGTGCCAGGAAGATAATGTCAGAATCCTGACTCACTTGAGAATGCATCAATTCTCCTTCAGTCTTCCTTTTTCATTGTCCAGTTTTTACAGATGAGGCAGTTGAGAAGACCATGACTGGGGTCAGGCACAACTTCGTCTTCAAAGAGTTAGTTATGTACCAATGAGTTAAATATTGATATAAAAGACATGATTAACAAATTATGAAGGAAGCCAAAGGGGAAAAAGTAACAGCATGAAAGAGTAAGGCCCCCTCAGCAGGCTAGACCCCCAATCATTGTGAAGTGTTGCATTTATGATCAAGAGAAGACAGTCACACTGAAATAGGATATGTTTTGATCACCACTCATGTAAAAAGAAATGAAAGAGTTTAAATGGACCACAAGCTCAATAGAGGCCAGTCATGAGGAAAGTTCTGAGAAATAAATAGCAGTGTTGGGAATGTTGCCTGATACAAAAAACATTAGCTCTTTGGACTAGAACAATTGTGGTTCAAATCCCACCTCTGCCACTTATTATCTGTGTGACTTCAGGTTATCACAGACCTCTCCAAGACTTGAAATCTAACTGAAGTGAAATGGAAATTTTGAAAATTAGGTCAGTAGAGGGTCTAGCCCAGTACTCAGTAGAACTTGGAAGAACTTAGTATGTAGAAGACACTCCACAAAAGGTCACTGTTCATAATTCCCTTGTTAAGGAAACAGGTTGTAAACTTTAAAAAGTCAGGAGGAGTCTTCCTCTGCTCTGTCCCTCTCAGACCTATATGCAGTATTGTGTCCAGTCCTAGGCTCTATACTTAAGAATCTGGAAAGTAGCCAGGCTGACAGAAGTCTAGAAAACCACATTGTGGAGATCTTAGGTAAGGAAATTGGGCAGAATCAGCCTGAGAATCAAGTGCCTGACATATGGCATTTTGTTATTGTCAAAGTATTTAAAGGGCCATCATATTTAAGAGGATATGCTGTGCTGCTCCAGAGAACCAAAGGAGAGGTGAATGTGTAAGTTAGTGGTGCAGGTCTCAGTCAAAATAAGAAGAAACAGAGATGTTCACAACATCTCTACCCCATGTGCTCTCTTGCAAAATACTGAGTGCCTCCTCATCACTGGAGGTATTTGATCAGACATCTGTCAGGAATATAGAAGGAATTTCTGGATCCAAAGCCCTTGAAGCCAATTAACCCAGATTTGAATCCAAGTTCCACAGTTAGCCATGTAGCCTTGAGGAGGTTAACTTCTTTGAGCCTCAATGTCCTTACAGTTGAAATGGGAATAATAGTACTTATTTCGAATGAGTATTATAAGGATTAAGTCTGATCATGTCCAGAAAGCACCCTGGACCATAGTAGGTTCTCCCCTCCATGAATAAAATCAGAGCTATATGGCTTCTAAGATGCCTTCTGAGATCTAATGCTAAGAAATTCAGTGCATCCGCAAAGGGACCCCTAGGAGAATAAAAAGACCCACTCACTGGCTGATAAAGGACTGGCTCCAGACACACACAAGCCAGAGTGGGCAGGCAAGCATCCAAGCAGCAATTTGGTGGCTAGCCTGTGGCAGGTGTCAATGGGGACACAGGATGTAGCCACCAGTTGATTGCTTCTGACAGGTTCAGCCCTCCCCAAAGCGTCATCTGGTTCTATAGCCAAGCCTTGTCAGCAAGGCATCTGAGTATGGTTCTCAATTCTTGTTGCTTATTAGCACAACTTGGGGTACTTTTACAAAATACCATTGCTGGACCCTATCCTAGCCCTATTAAATCAGAATCTTTGGGGTTGAGGTCAAACATTGATGGGTTGGTTTGGTTTTTGTTTTGTTTTGTTTAAACTCTCCAAGTGTTCTACTTTATTAGAGGCAATTAAAAAAACGAAGACATGATTTTGAGACTAGAAAATTCACCACTTCAACTGGTACAAAGAAAGATATGGAACAGTTTAGTGATGTTTTCTGGGTTTGTGGAGGACTTTTTATCAGAGAATGGGAAAATGCTATTTGCGTCTTCCCTGGGGACTCAAGAGGAAATGAGTGAACTCAGTTCTAAGAGGATGGAGTAGAGATGTAAGGAAGCCTTCTCTTCCAGTGACAGACATTGGACAGGACAGCTGAGGGATAATAATGATGGAAGCATTTCCTCTCAGGGACGCTTACCTGAGCAGATTGCTCTCCAGAGGAAGAGACTGCAGCAGGTTCTCATCCAAAAGCCCCGGAAGGAATTCACAGGATCCCCTTTCATCTTAGGATGCACCTTGGCTCTGTCATCCACCCTAAATATCACATTTTTCCTTTTACCTTCTTTCCTTTTTGAAGTAACCTATAGTATCTCCCTTCTACAGGTATCTCAGAAAACATGATTGTGTCCTCACGGCCAGACCTAGTGGAAGAGAAGCTGCGAGCACAACTGGAGGAAGAAAAGAGAAGGTGCCTTTGCTTCTTGTTGCATATACCCTGTGACCCCAGCCCTGCAGCACTAGCCAGGGACACATGGAACTGGCCTGGCCCAGGCTGGAGCTACTCAGAGGAAGTGGGTCCCACACCTGGGTCCTAAAATAGCAGGAGCAGGAGGTACAGCCTTTGAACAGGCAGATGTGAAACGCAGGAATCCGGGGAAGGGTGAAGGTGGAATGGAGCCAAAGACCAAGCCAGGCCCTAAGGAGCTTGGTATACACGTGTCAGGGAGCTATTGCTGTTTACACCCACACCCTGCCCAAGGTCCCAGGAAACAACTACACTGGTCTACTGCTGCCACCTAGGGGAGTCAAGCGGTATGAAAACAGTGCTCTTTCTCATGCCTGTGGCTTTACCCTATTTCCCTCCTGAGTTCCCTCATCTATAAGGAACCATGAAAACATCATATCCTCATGCAGCCGTGTAGGATCCCAAAACACCTTTACTTGCAGAGTGAGGAACCTCAAGCAAAAACAGGCATGTAGCCATTGCTTATACACAGACTTTCCCTTACCCTCCCAATCAAGCTGCTTAGTTCATTTGTTCATTTATGCATCCAGCAAATGTTTGATAGGTCCTTCATGCTACAAGTAGATGCTGGAAAGACCAAACAAGTTACCTTCCTTGCCCTCACCCCACCCTAGTCTGACTAGGCATGTGCCCTAAGCAAACCACCACTCCCACCCCCACTCACACATGCCTGCTATCCTGAGACTTGAAACCAAAGGCCCTCACAACTAGTCTCCAGATCACTCCTAGTAACTATATGCTGTGCTATCTTCTGTCTGCATCATTCTCCCAGATTTCCCTGCACTGCCCTCCCCAACACCCACAGTTGCCCTGCTCTGGGTGTACCCCTACCCCCATGGTCTGCTTTCTTACCCAGTGTATTTTTCTGTTTTGTTTCAATCCATTCTTTCTTGTCTCTTTACTCCAACTCCATCTTGTCCTTGATTCTACATTTCTCACCTCAGGACCATCTCAGAAGCCACATTGTCTCTTCAGCTTGGCTGTTTAACTGTTTCCTGTCAGACTACTTTTGACTCATTGATGATAGCATTCCCAAAATCCACATATACATTAACAAGTAGACTGAACTTTTGGTCTCAGCATGATGAGGCTGTTAAAACTGTAGTTCAAATTTCAGCTCCTCTGCTTATTAATAATTCATGCACCCAGTTCCACATCTGTAAATGGAAATGATGATAATAGCATCTTCTTCACAGGGTTATGAAGAGGATTAAATTAGTTGATATGTGTCTAGTACCTAGAACAGTGCCTGCCCTTAGGAAGTGTTCAATAAACTGCAATAAAAAGCAGCCAGCTTTCCCTTCCTCCCTATGAGTGACTTCCTTTCAAGAAGGCAGTACACTGACTTTCCTCTGATTTCACCATAGGTATAAAACCATGTTCACTCGCCTGAAAGCCCTGAAGGTGGAGATAGAGCACTTACAGCTGCTTATGGACAAAGCCAAGGTGAAGCTGCAGAAAGAATTTGAAGCTTGGTGGGCAGAGGAGGCCACCAGCCTGCAGGTATGGCCAGCTGTGTCCCTCACAGCCTCAGCATCCTGTTCTCCTCCCATGGTTAGCACAGTTGGGGAGGGGACAAGCCATGCAGCCCCCATGTGGGCTGACAGGAGGCAGAAGTGGGGTAGTCTCTCACAGGCCTACATGCTCTCAGCCCCTGGCTCTGAAGTAACAAGGAATGAAAAAGGTCAGGGGTTCATTGTTCCTTTGTTCCCATGCCTGAAATAACCACTGAAACGTAGAATGCTGAGAAGTAGAAGATGTAACTCCCAAAACCACTGGATTACCACTACGGCTTTGTGCAAAGTGGTATCATATTCCTAACACTTGTTTTTCTTATATATGTATATTAATTATGGAAATTTTTAAAATACAGAAAAACACAGAGAAGAAAGTAAAAATCATCATAATACCACCACTTGAGGATAACTAATGTTAATATGTTGTTGTTGTTAGGTGCTGTGGAGTCGGCTCTGACTCATAGTAACCCTGTGTACAACGGAACAAAACACTGCCCGGTCCTGTGCCACCTCACAATCCTTGTTATGCCTGAGCCTGTCGTTACAGCCCCTGAGTCTGTCCATCTCATTGAGGGTCTTCCCGTTAATGTGTTGGAATATATTGTTTTGTTTTGTTTCCTATGTGTATATATCCTTATTTTTTTACAAATATGGAATCATATATGTCTTAAAGTATCATAAATGACTTTTTTTTTCACTTAATTGTATAATGTGACTACTGTTCCATTTTATTATCCTACAGCATTTTTCTAATGGCTGTTAATGTTCCATCATATGGATATATTTTAATCTACTTAACTGATCTCTTATCATTGGATATTTAGGTTGTTTCTAGTTTTTCAAAACATATTTTTATGTTTTACATATCTCCAAGAAAAAGTTCTAGACATTTCATATAATATTATGAAGGCTGAAATAACCTGTTAAGAAGTATTGGTTTAGATTACCAGTTTTGACTGCCCTTGTGTAACTCATCCACTGTAGAGCACAATGAAAGGAATGAAATGCATGTAATCATATAATTCATATGGCTGGCAGAATCCTTAGAGGTTGCCTAGCAAGCTGACCCCTTCATTCACGAATAAAGAAACTGAGAGCCAGGGAAGGTATTTGCCCAAGGACACCCAGCCAAACAGTAACTAGTATGTTACTAAGTGTGACAGGACACTCAGAGAAGAGGGTATCTGGATAAAATTAAATACATAGAATTCCTAAGAAACCAGATTAGATTGAAATTCAATTACCAAAATAGTTTTAAGGCAAAGTTGTGGTATAATAATAAGTATACTATATGCACATTATTTAATATGACCTAGTGGAGCGCTGGTGGCATAATGGATAAGGCTGCTAACCAGAGAATAGCAGTTCAAACCCACCAGCTGCTCCGTGGAAGAAAGATAGGACAATCTATTTCCATAAAGATTTACAGCCTTGGAAACCCAATGGGTGTCGCTATGTGTCGGAATTTACTCAATGGCAGTGAGTTTGGTTTTTTGTTAGGGGTGGACTGAGGAGCCCTGGTAGCACAGTGGTTAAAGTGCTCATCTGCTAACCAAAAAGTCTGCAGTTCAAACTCAGCAGGCATTGTGTGGGAGAAAGATGTGGCAGTCTGCTTCTGTAAAGATTACAGCTTTGGAAACCCAATGGGGCAGTTCCACTCTGTCCAATAGGGTCACTGTGACTTGGAATTCCCTCAACAGCAATGGGTACCTGTTTAACGGGTGGAGATGGTCCTAATAACTGCTATACTTGCAAAATAATGATGAACGCAATATTTCAAGAATTCTGTAGCACTAACAGGTTCAGCTCTTCCCAAATGTGGTATAAAAATATATATGATATCTGTTGGTGACAAAGCCACAAATTTGGCTAATACTACTATGCTTTGTTGCTTGCATTTATCATTGAAGGAACTGCTGAATTTCATGTAGAAGTTATGGAAAATAAACATGTAATTATTACCTGTCCTAGTTCACAACCTCCCTGGATTTTGAACTCCAGGTTAAAAACCTTTCCTGGAAGTTCATCAGTGAGTGCACCTGTCAGCTGTATCAGCTGCCCAAAGGAGGTCAGCCACTGCACAATAGACAGGGGTCATCCACTGTGACCCAGGAAGTGTCCAGACAAGGTTGACAGATTCACCTGGTAAAGAAACAACCAGCCCTCATTAGAGTCAGACCGCCTATTACTTAGGTAGCCACTGCCATCAAGTTAATTCCGAATCATGGCTATCCTAGAGGACAGAATAGAACTGCCCCCATAAGGTTTTCAAGGCTGTCTTTACAGAGGCAGACTGCCTCACCTTTCTCCCACGGAGCAGCTGGTAGGTTTGAACCACCGACCTTTTGGTTAGCAGCCAAATGTTGTAACCACTATGCCACCAGAGCTCCTTTGTTACTTACATAGACAGTGAAAACAAGAGTAGCCAAAGGTGCAATTTCTTTCTGTCCCAGATACTGCAAGCAAAGGGACCAGATGACTGTAATCTGCATAAACACCCTGTTGTTGAGGAGCTGATTCCATGCAACAGCTCAGCAATTTTGTGGCCTGCAGCTGTACGCTGAATGAGGGGAGCAAAAGCCTCATACCTCTCCTGACGGCCTCCTAGGAAGACCGGGAGGGAGGCAAGTGAGAAAAACCCTTATAGCAGCTGCTCACAAGCCTCCCTTGCTCTTATGTTCTGGGAGGAGCATAGGGTTCTGCCAACACTTAAAGATCAACTGAGATTTAACCCTTGCCTGTGAGACCTGTAAGGTCCCTGGGTGGTGCAAACAGTTTGCACTATGCTACTAGTTGAAAGGTTGGCCACTCAAACCCACCTAGAGTTGCCATGGAAGAAAGGCCTGGAGATCGTCTTCTGTAAAGATGACAGCCAAGAAAACTCTATAGAGCTCAATTCTAGTCTGTAACACATGGGATTGCTCTGGGTCAGAATCTACTTGCTGGCAATGGGTTTAGTGGATTTGGGGGTTTGATTTGTTTGTTTTTGTTGCTTGTTTGTTTGTTTGTTATGAAACCAATGTGAAGACGTGTAAGGTCACCAGTGTGCCCTGGTAGAGGTGTTTCATGGTCAGTGGGTTTCTCTGGACTCTGGTAGTATTTATTTGGGACAAAGACAAACAAGCCAAGAAAGGAGTTCTGGAAAATTGTCAGATCACATTTTAAACTTCTTTTTTTTTCCCTAACCATAAGAACTAATACATGTCTAATTTGGTAAACTTGGAAAGCACAGAAAAGCATAAAGACTAAATCAAACATTATCTGTGATCCTATTACCAAAAGATGATATTTTAAAGCTCATGATGATGGTTATTACTATGTCTAGATTTGTTTTTCCAACATATATTGTATACAGTCAGCCCCTGAGTTGGAAACATCTACCTTCCAAACAACCTGTAGTTATGGATAAAGCCTATTAATTAAAAAGTCAAGGTACAAAGATCCTCTGCGAGATGGACAGACACAGTGACTGTAACAAGAAGCTCGAACATAGCAATGACTGTGAGGATGGCACAGGACCGAGCATGTCTCATTTTGTTGTACACAGAGTCACTATGAGTCTAACCCGACTCAATGGCACCTGACAATCACAAGGAAGGATATAGCAGGATACACATCAGACTTCTGGGGAGAGAGCTCTGTGGGGAGGCAAAGGAGTACTTTCACTTTTTACCGCTGGAACTGAGGGTTGCTTCCATTTTACAAGCATATTTAAATTTTGTAGTTAAAGGAAAAATAAAGGTCTTCCCCAAAAAAAAACAAAAATTTTTTTAGAGATATATCCAATGGTTCATAATAACAAAACAGGAACTACGTTATGCCACCCATCAAAATGTTGTTATTATTATTATTATTATTACTGTATTGTTAAAGACATTTTAGTGTATCTGGAAGTGTTCCTTTAATGTTTTTATGCATACAGAGATTTGCTGTATACAGATGTACTGTATACATTTTATATAAACATTTGACTAACAGATGTTAGATATGAACTTTACATAACTGTTCTGACTTACATACAAATTCAACTTAAAGACAGATTTAGGAATGGAACTCATTCATAATCCAGGGACTGTCCGTATACCAATTTCTAATGTAACTGGATTTTCCCCATTAAGCAATACATCAAGAACATTTTCCCATGTCATTAGATTCAAGCTAACATTAGAAAACTATTTCTTGGGCCAACAGGCAAACTCTCCAGCAGTGAATTCACTTGATCACATGAAGTTGTCTCCCCAGACATCTGAACCGCAGTACGAACAGCCTTGGAATCTCTCTAATAAAAGGTAAAGAGAATTCATTTTTGTGAATTGGAAGGCTTAACATAGGTAAGATGTCAATGCTACTACCCAAAGCAATCTATAAATTCAGTGGAATTCCCCATAAAATCCTAATAGCCTTCTTTTCAGAGAAAGCCAGTCCTCAAATTTATGTGGAAGGGCAAGGGGATCTCAAATAGCCAAAGCAATCTTGAAGAAGAATAAAGAGGATGCGTACTTCCTGATATCAAAACATGCTATAAAGCTACAGTAATCAAAATAGCGTGTTACTGGTGTAATAATAGATCTATAAACCAATGGAATAGAATTGAGAATCCAGAAATAAACCCATATGGCTGTGGTCAACTGATTTTTGACAAGAGTACTAAGTCCATTAAATATGGAAAGAAGAGCATCTTTAATAAATTGTGCTGAGAAAATTAGATTTATATATACAGAAGAGTGAAACAGAATCCATACCTCATACCTTGTACAAAAACCAATTCAAAACAGATCAAGGACCCAAATGTGAAAACTATAATCATAAAATTCAAAGAAGAAAATATAGAGGTATGGCTGTGAGATCTAACCTTTAACAATGGACTATCAGATATGACACCAAAAGCATGAACAGCAAAAGACAAAACAGATAAATTACGACCTCATAAAAAATTAAATCTTTTTCTTCATCAAAGGACTTTATCAATAAAGTGAAGATACAACCTACAGATTGGGGGGAAGAAAATGAGGGAACTCATATATCTGATAAGGGTTTAGTATCCAAAATATATTTAAAAATTCCTACAATTTAACAATAAAAATATCAAATAAATAAAATAGGCAAAGGACTTGAACAGACATTTCACCTGATAGGACATAAAAATAGCAACAAGTACATGAAAAGATGCTCCGTGTCATTAGCCATTACCAAAACCAAATCAGCCCTATTGCCTGCCATCTAGTCAATTCTAACTCACTGCATAGGACAGAGTAGAACTTTACCATAGGGTTTCCAAGACTATTATCTTTATAGATGCAGACTATCATATCTTTCTCCCATGGAGCAGCTGGTGGGTTTGAACAGGTGACCTTTCCTTTAGCAGCTGAGTACCTAACCACTGTGCCACTAGGGCTCCTTCTATTAGCCATTAACTAAAAAACCAAACTCATTGCCATCAAGTTGATTCCAACTCATAGGAACCCTTTAAGACAGTAGAACTGCCCTATAGGGTTTCCAAGGCTGTAAATCCTTATGGAAGTAGACTATCTCATCTTTCTCCCATGGAGAGGCTGGTGAGTTCAAACCACCAACCCTATGGTTAGAAGCCAAATGCTTTAACCACTATACCACTAGAGCTCCTTCCATTAGCCATTTTTGTTGTTGTTGTTATTTGCCATCGACTTGGACCTGACTCATAGCGACCCCTCCTTGGGTTTCCGAAGCAGTATCACTACGGAAGTAGATTGTCCAACCTTCCTTCTGAGGAGGGGCTAGTGGGTTTGAACTGCCAGCCTTCTGGTTAGCAGTCAAGTGCCTTAGGCACTACACTACCAGAGCTCCTCCATTAGCCATTAAGGAGCTGCAAATCAAAACTACAATGAGATACCACCTCAACCCTACTAGAATGGCTATGATAAGGGGAAGAAAAAAAAAAGAAAGAAAGAAAATAACAGGTGTTGACAAAGATGGAGAAATTTGAACACTTATCCACTGCTAGTGGGAATATAAAATGGTACAACCACTATGAAATATAGTTTGGCAGTTCCTCAAAAAGTTAACCATGGAACTACCATATGACCCAACAATGCCAATCCTAGGTATAAACTCAAAAGAATTAAAAGCAGGAATGCAAGCAGAAACCTGTATACTGATTTTTGTTGCAGCAGTATTCACAGTAGCCAAAAGGTGGAAACAACCTAAATGTCCATCAACAGATTAAAAATATATATATATAATATATCCATACAATGGAATATTAGCTATAACAAGACATGGAGTCCTGATGCATGTCACAATGCGGGTGAATCTGGAAAACATTATGCAGAGTGAAATAACTCAGTTGCAAAAGGATAAATACTGTGTGTTCTCACATGAAATAGGCAAATGTATAGAAACCAAAGCTTATTAGTGGTTACCAGGGGTGGGATGAGGAGGAAAGGAGAAAGATATTGCATAGGGCACAATGAGTTTATGTTAATAGTGATGGAATAATTCAAAAATGGATAGTATTAATGGTTGCACAACATGAAGATGTGATTACTAAATAAGACTTTCAACATTGTTGAATTGACAAATGTTTTGTTATGTATATTTTTACCACCAAGGAAAAGGGTAAGGAGTGAATTCCACCAACAGTGTTGAGGTGCCCAGAGAAGGCTCCTTGCCTTTCTTCCCAAACCATTTTTCTGCTCTTGATATCTTCTTACAGGTTGCATGATCAGGGAGGACAGATCACTTTTACTGTTTAATTAGTTGTAGATATTCAGGCTAGTGGCTTTAAACTTGTCTGAGTACACCCTCCTGCAGTACTTCCCCCATTGCTCTGACAGCCAGTGGACATACTGCCAAAGTAAAAAGGGATTTAGTAGTACAAGCCCAGTCCCTGTAAACCACATACCTGTGTAGTAAGATGGGAGTGGCGATGGGCAGGGGAGGAGCATGGGAGAGGGAAGGGAAGAAGAAGGTTGCTTGTGGTGGAACAGGAGATAGTCAACCTGCCAGGACATGAGCATCTTGAGTAAGAGACCTTTTATTTTGTCCTAGCAAGAATACAAAAAAGATATTAGCCACCTCCCATAACTCCACATGAAGATGGCCCGGAGCCAGTTCTCCCCATCAGAGACTCAGCTTCCACATACAGCCCCTTCTGCAAGAGGTTCCCCCTCACACCATCCATGTTATTGTCTCTTTCCAACCATGCAAACCCAGTGAAGCATGCCTCCCACCATCGTCCGTCACTGAAATGCAGTGCTGTCATGTGCATAGCCAGGGCAGCACAAGGGGGCTCTGCCTCCATCACCAAGGAGCACTCCTTTGGCTGGGATGAAAGGGAGCTGAGCTGTCACACTGGAAATGAGAAACAGAGCAGTGTTCTTAAAAAAAAAAAAAGCCAGACAAGAACATTTACATTAGGTAGATATACTCCTTGGAGAGATCAATCATGGAGAGTAGAAGGACTGTGTATGCACAGGCAGACAGCTCAGGGAGCAGGAGTGCATGGGAGGGAAGGGCACAGGGAAGAGGTAACTTATGGGGAGGAAGTGGGAAGAGAGCTGTTGCATTGTGGGAAGTTGTAGTCAATGCCATGAGACAAAGTGTATATGAACTGCTGTATGAAAATTAATCTGCTCTGTAAACTTTCATACAAATCACAATAAAAATTAAAAAAAAGCCACACAGAGGTCTCCTTGATATGGTGTAATGAGAATAGCATTTTACCTCTGTGGTCTTCTCAAAAACCTCTAACCCAAGTTTAATTACAAGAAAAACATCAGGCAAATCCCAATAGAGGAGCATCCTACAAAATTTCTGACCAATACTCCTCCACATAAAGGAATTCTGGTGGCACAATGGTTAAGGCATTCAACTGCTAACCGAAAAGGTTAGCAGTTCAAACCACCAGCCACTCCTTGGGAGAAAGGTGAGGCAGTCTGCTTCTATAAAGATTTACTGCCTTGGAAACCCTCTGGGGCAGTTCTGGTCTGCCCTATGGGGTCACTACGAGTTGGAATTGACTCGATAGCAGTGGGTTTGGTTTTTTGTTTGTTTGCTTTTTCTTCTCATCACTGTCAGGGTTGGCCAAGACAAGGAAAGGCTGAGAAACTGTCACAGCCCAGAGGAGCCTTAGAAAACATGATGTGGGATCCTGGAGCAAAAAAGGGACATTAGGAAAAAACTAAGGAAATCTGAATAAAGTATGGGTGTGAGTTAATCATGCATGTGGTAGTTATGTTTGTGTGTCAACTTGGCTGGGCCTGGTTGAGTGCCTGGGCAGCTGGTGGTAGTATTCCCCATGATGAGACTGGCAATCAGCTCCATGGTGGGATCTACCACAAGCAGCTGAATAGCTGCCTTTGGACTGTGGTCTGCTTCCTGTATTTAAGGAGAAGCCTTGGGAATGGTATTAAGCTTATGGCATGCTTGGACCCTGCGTGTAACCATGTCTTTGTTCAGCAGCTTGCTATGCTCTGCCGACCTTGGGACTTACAGTGGACTTAGGTTAATGGCCTGCCATGTGATTTGGTAACATCAGGACTGTGCCTTTTTACTTGTCAACCTTAGGGCTTCTCAGTCTCAGCAGCCAACAGCTGTCTGAGTGAAGACAGCCAGGAGCTGGAGGCAGAGCTCGACCCCAAGACTGAGGGGCTTTCACTCAGCCTCTAGAACCTGGCACTTTGAACTTGGACTTAAAGCCTCCAAACTGTAAGAGAATAAACTCCTGTTTGTTAAGGCCATCCCATTTGTGGTATATTTTTTGTCAGAGTGGCACTAGGTAACCAGAACAATGCATCAATAGCAGTTCATAAGTTATAACAAATGTTTGATACTAATATGTTGTTGTTGTTATTTGCCGTCGAATCGGCCCCGACTCATAGCAACCCCTCCTTGGGTTTCCAAGGCAGTATCGCTACAGAAGTAGGATTGCCCAACTTTCCTTCCAAGAAGTGGCTGGTGGGTTACATAAGAATGGGAAACTGGGTTTGGGGTACATGGCAGCTCTCTGTACCCTCTTTGCAACTTTTCTGTAAATCTAAACCTATTACTAAAAAACATCTTATTTTTAAAAAAAAGAACAAGGTCAACAGTGAGCCCTCCAACACCTGGATGCCATTTCCTGAATTGACCCACAATACCCAACCTGTCCTCAGTGCCAGCACCTCAGCTCGTATTCTAGTTTTAGGAAACATGTTGTATGAGAGCCCCTAAGCCAGGAGTTGACAACAGACAAGGTGTGTTTTATTCGATTAACCTGGTATTTCAATAAGCAGTATAACTAGATAGCTAGAATGTTTCATGGAGATACAGG